AAGCTGAAATTCAGAAAACTGAGTTCAGCAGAATAAAAAATCTTAATTCAGTACAGTTTATCCTAGAAATAAAATGTCATCTTAACATTTAAAAATCAGGGGCTGGCAGGTGGCATGGTGGTTAAGGTTCTAAACTTCCACATGGCCAACAATGGTTCAAGTCCCAGACCTGGCAGCTTGCTATTTCTCTCTCTCTGGTCATACTGAAGAATGATAATAAAGAAATAAAATAAAATCATTCTTCAAAAAATTTTAAGGACTTACAAGCTCACAAGCCACTGTCCACAACTAGTTGTGTGGCTCCATCCAGGCCCAAGAGGACAAGAAAGTGCAATCCTACAGGACACCCAGAATAGTTGGTTAGAAATCATGTAAGGAGGGACCAGCAGATTGCACAATGGTTACATCGCTGGACTCTCACGTAGTCAACCATGGTTTGAGTCCCGGATCTGGTGGCTTAAACTCATGGGCCCATGTGAGTGCATGCCCAAGATCCCCAGAGGAGAATGGAAGAGAAGGGATTGTGGTGTGGCCATTCCCCCTGGGGGGGAGTGATTTCTCGCTTTCTGTTTCTGTCTGTCTCTCAGGTGAGCATGTGCTCCCTGTAGCAAAAACCTCTCAAAAATTTTTTTTTTAAATGTAAAATCAATCACACTAGCAAAGTAGAAAAGTCATGTGACCATTTCAATAGCTCTCACTCAACAGACATTTAATGCTCATTTGTGATTTAAATTTATTTTTCAATAAACTATAAATGCAATGAAATTTCCTCAGCCTAATAAAAGAATTTAGGAAAACCCCATAGTTACTGGTGAAAGAATGAATGCTTTCCCCCTATGTCAGGAACTAGGTAAGGATGCCAACTCTTACAATTTCTGTTCTGAGTGGTGGTTGAGATGCTAGCAGGTATAATAAGACAACAACCAAAAATAAATGAAAGACATATGCTGGAAAGAAAAAGGTAAAACTCTATCTATTCACAGATAACATGAAAAAATACAAAGAAATTCATAAAAATAAACTATAAGTGAATTTGAGAAGGTCCCAGGACATGGGTTAATATACAAAATCATATTTCTATATGCCACAACAAAAAAATGAAATATCAAATCAAAAATATTAATATACTAGAATCAAACTACAAAATAATTTAGGAATAATATTTTCAAGTTTTATTTTATTCATAATAGAGAATGTATACACATGCATGAGAGAAAGAGAAAAGTAGAGTCTCATCATGCCACGATCCCTTTTCACTGGTCCTTCAGCTTGTTAGGATCTTGGACATGCAAGATCTTGCACTTGGCATGTTTTAGGTAAACTAGACTGGGAACCTGAACCCAGCACTGCAGTTCATTATGCTACCAACTGCACCATCAGGCTGGGCCTAGAAACACTTCTAATGAAAGTCATATAAAATATCTACACTGAAAACTACAAAACATTGTTGAGTGAAATTAAAGAATACCTACATAAGTAGAGAGAAGTACTAGATTCATGCATTATAGGAATCAATGCTGTTAGGATTCTATTCAATATTTCTCTGTATAATGATCTTTAGACTTAATGCATTCCCAATTAAAATCCCATTGTGCTTTCTTTATGGAAATGACAAGCTGGTTCTTAAGTTTTATTGTCACCTAGCTGACTTTGAAAAAGCGCCAAAGAAATTCAATTAGAAAAAGGAAAAAATTTTTAAGAAGTGGTGCAGCAAGAATTGGTTAGCTTATGGAAAAGAATGAGCTTCAACCCCTAACTCACACCACATGCAAGAAGTGATTTGAGGCCCAGATAGTTGCATGGCAGTAGTGCCAACAATCCGCAATGCTAGAAGCCATATGGAAGACAGGAGTTTGGTTCCTGGTTTACTTATGTATGCCAGGTGTGTGCATGATCTGGGCTGGCTGAAAAGACCGAGGGGTGAGACTGTGGTGTGAAATCTGGTTGAGGGTGCTTACCTCTCTTGTTCCCTCTCTGTCTCTTCATAAGTAGGTAAATTAAAAAAAAAAAAAATATAT